GACAGCGAGCAGCAAAGTCGACGAGCTCAGTAACGAGAGCAGACGCAGCAGTAGACTCGAAAGAAGGGTCAGTGACAACAGTAGCAAGGAGACGCGTGACAGTAGGACTGGCAGCACGAAGAGAGTCCGACTCCGGGTCGGCAAGAGCAGGAAGAGAGGACTCAGGAGGAGAAGGCAAAGGGGCACGCAGAGGAGCAGTGGACGGACGCAGAGACATCCGGTGCGTGCCAGGGACAGGAGGAGGACGCTGACGCGAACCGCGACCACTAGTGCGAGCAGCACGGACAGGCGACGCAGGGCGAGACGCAGGCTCACGACGCTCAGCCAGACCTCCAGTAGGACCAGTGTAGGGAGAAGGAGCAGGCAAAGGGGAGGTAGGCTGCAACTGTAGCTGGGACGAGACAGGCTGTGGACACTCTAAGGGAGGAGGAGGACCAGTAGAAGGTGGAAGACCAAGAACCTGCTGCAGGAGTGGAACGAAGTACGGTCGAGGCCGCGCGGCGACGCTAGAAGCAGCAGGGACAGCACCAGAACCCTCAGCAGGAGCACCCGCTCCAGCAGCACCACCAGTAGCTCCAGAACCTCCAGCAGCACCAGGAGCACCCCCAGTAGGACTGCCAGCGGTAGTCTCAGCGCCAACACCCTCAGCAGCACCAGCTCCAGTGCACCCAGGACGAGCACCTCTGGGACCCGCGACCGCAGTACCCTCAGCAGCCGAAGGACCTCCAGCACCAGCAGCACGCCTCCAGCGCCGGGCAAACCACTCACGCAACTCCTGTGGAGAAAGTGGCTCCCGGCGAGACGAAGCACTCGGAGAACCTCCAGGCGGAGCACCTCCAGGCTCAGCACCCCCAGGCGTAGCACCCCTAGGCTCAGCACCCCCAGGCTCAGCACCCCTAGGCTCAGCACCCCCAGGCTCAGCACCCCCAGGCTCAGCACCCCCAGGCTCAGCACCCCTAGGCTCAGCACCCCTAGGCTCAGCACCCCCAGACGTAGCACCCCCAGGCCCAGCACCCCTAGGCTCCGCACCCCCAGGTACAGCACCCCCAGCCTCAGCACCCTCAGCAGCACCAGAGTCACCAGTGACCTCGACAGGCTCGACTGCGTCTACCTGGGACACACCTGAAGGGGCAGGACCCTGAGGGGGGAGGGGGTCTACCTGGGGGGGACCTGGTACCAGGAAGAGTGGGGGTGGGGGGAGGGACGGAGTGCGGTAGGGGAAGAGGCGGTAGTAGGGGACCGACTCGTCAAACGTGACGTCCTGGGAGGACAGAACACGGCGAGAGGTGGGGTGGTAAAACTGCCACCCAGGCGCGTCAGGGGGGAACCCCAGGAAGACGCAAGGAGCAGCACGAGGGGATAGTTTGTCCGCAGACAGGTCGCGGACAAACGCCCGAGATCCCCAGACCCGGAACGCCGACGCATCGCCAACCTTCCCCGTCCACAGCAAGGCTGGGGAGGTCTCCGGCCTGGAGACCCTGGGGTGGAGGTTGATCTGATGCGCCGCGTACCTCACCGCAAACGGCCACAGAAAATGGGGGGCAGCCGCATGCATCATAGACGTACGAGCGACGTCCATGACCATGCCAATGCGGCGCTCAGCAATCCATTTTGCTGCGGTGAGTCCGGAAGCGTGAAGGTCTGACGGATGCCCCGTGCACGACAGTAGGCACGCAGAAGGCCAGAGGAGAACTCTCCGCCTCTGTCCGAGTGCAGACGCAGAACAGGAAAGTCCGAGCCGAAGCTCTGCCTGAGCTGGAGACGAGCTGCGCGGATCCAGTCGATCAGCACCTCAGTGACATCACCCTTGCTGCGCAAGGGGAAGACTGTGGTGTAACGCGAGTAGTCGTCAACAACGAGCAGGAAGTAGCGCTCGTGACCCTGTCCACGGACGCGGGCTGGGCCCCACACGTCCATGTGAAGTGTTTGCAACGGGGCCTCTGTCGAAGGAAACTGGGAGGAGTGAGGGGCAGCACGCTGGCGCCCCTCGACACAGGGGACACAGGCAGGGCCACGGCCCTGAGGAAGGGGAGGGAGGGACCGGGGGAGACCGGACACAAGAAGACGGGAGGCCATACCTCTGAGCCGAAGCAGAGAGGGGTGGCCAAGGCGGTGGTGCCAGAGGAGAGTCTCGTGAGACAGGAGACGACACGAACAGGGGGCAGACTCAGGACCAGACCTGGACGCCGCAGCAAACACCTGACCCGACGTAACTACCCTACCAGACTCAGCAACTGGAGGAGACGCAGTGGTCAGAGTGTACAGGCTCGACCCCGGCTGACGGGTGAACGTAGCCAGGTGTCGGCCTGTGCCAGCCTCTGTACAGTGGGTCACTCGCTGACGTGCAGGAGTGAACTGGTGGACACCCGCATCCTGTAGGTCAGCACCACTCACCAGGTTCGTCGAGAACGAGGGGAGGTAGAGACGAGACAGGGTGCCAGAGGGAGCCGCCGGACACGGGAGGACTGTGGAGAAACGAGACAGGACCGGACCCCCAGAGGGGTCAGCCAGAGACACCGCAACCGGCCGACTAAGCGGCGTGAGTGTGGTGCGGTCCCGAAAGAAGGAGCGAGACGCCCCAGAGTCAAGAGTGAAGGTGAGGGAGGCCGAAGCCGACGCGGTACCTGAGAGAGCAGACTCACCAGTACCTGAGGACGCAGACACACCAGCACCTAGAGCAGCAGCGTCGTAAGCACCTAGGGCAGCAGCCTCACCAGTACCTAGAGCAGCAGTCTCAATGCCCGGATCGGGCTGGAAACACCGGTAACAGTCACCCTCATCACTAATAGACACAGCATACATGGCAGAGAGAATAGCATCAAAGTCCAGATCAAAGATGGCAACCCCCGCCCTAGACAGCTCGTCCCAGCGAGGGATCTCGGAGGCCTCCGGGAACTGGTGACGCCATGCGTCCGTCAGGCGGCCAAAGCAGCGCGGAGTGGGGTGCGCACCCCCACACTGCTCACCCGCACGGTCGCCGGTGCGCAGGACGTAGGTACACGGACCAAAACCCCCACCCCGCTGGCGTGCAGTGTACCACTCACGGAGCTGCTGAGGGGACAGGGTCGCACGACCACGCTGCTGCTGCTGGCGCGAGCCACCACCGGAGCCACTCCTCTGCAAAGACCCGCGACCAGCTCCACCGCCACCCCCACCGCCTCCACCGCCTCCGCTGCCTCCACTGCCGCCGCCGCCTCCACCGCCTCCTCCACCGCCGCCTCCTCCGCCACCTCCGCTACCACCGCCACCGCCGCCGCGGCCTCCGCCTCCACTGCCGCCACCGAACCCCCCACCCCCACCTCCACCTCCACCGCTACCCCCACTCCCCCCACTGCCTCCACCTCCACCTCCACCGCCCGCTCCTCCAGCTCCCTTGCCCCCCTTGCCCTTGCCAGGGCGGCGTCTCCCGCTAGGGGCAGACACCGCACCGACCGACTCAAGACCAAGGAGGTCGGCCGAAGCAACAGAGGCAACAGAGGGCAGCAGGGGGGAGGGAGAACACCCCTCAAAGATGGGGGTGCGCGGGTCACCTCGAGAGGCTCCTACAGCGACTATGCTCTTTTCTATCGCGAGGAGGGCCTTCTCGAGGAGGTCTACAGTGAGTGTGGTGGGACAGACTGAGAGAAAGTGGTCCCTGACTACTCGAAGGGAGTCAGGGAGGCGAGTGACTAGGAAGTACAGAGTGATGTACATGGGGGGGGGGTTCGCGGTGCAGAAGTCAGCAGGAAGTGCAGCGCGGTAGCGAGTGTCACTAGTGCGGAGGTGCGTAATGAGGTCAGCAACGGTGGGAAAAGAAGCAAGGTCAGGGAAGAGGTACGGCAGCATGAGACGGCTCAGTGCAGCAGTGGAAGGGGAGGAGTAGCGCGCGACTACAGCGGCGTACAAGGTCTGAGCACTCTTGTACTGACTAAAGTGCGCACGCTCGGAGGTAGGGAGGTGGCGACGCACAGCAAGACGTGCAGCAGCATCGCGCGTGGCCCACTGGGAGCGAACAGTGGCGTCAGCATCAGCAGCAGGGGCAGGGGAAGCGCCAGAGGTGAGGTCAAAGAGAGAGAGGCCGTCCGCCCTATCGCACTGTAAGTACAGCTGTAGGTCATCTACCCAGACCTCAAAGTCAATGGCCCGACCCTCAGCGTCAAAAGTGAGGACACTAGGGGTAGCCATGACAGCAGTAGACCAGCAGTGCAAGGAGTAGGGGAAGAGCACGCAGTGACAGAGGGTCTGTGCTCACCGGACAGGGCTGCTCGGGCGGCTCGGCTGCAGGGCGGCTCGGCCGCTGGGCGGCTCGGCGGCTGGGCGGCTCGGCGGCTGGGCGGCTCGGCAGCTGGGCGGCTCGGCAGCTGGGCGGCTCGGCGGCTGGGCGGTCGGCTGCACGGCGGCTCGGCTGGTGGGCGGCCGGGCGGCTCGGCTGCAGCGCGGCTCGGCGGCGGGGCGGCTCGGCTGCTCTGCTGCTGGGCGGCTCGGCTGGGCCGCTGACGTAGGGCGGCGGGGCCGCTGTAGAGAAGCGGCGGGGCCGCAGTGAAGGGCGGCGGGGCCGCAACGAGAGAGGCGGCGGGGCCGCAGCGAGAGAAGCGGCGGGGCCGCGAAGTCGGGCGGCGGGGCCGCTGAGTAGGGCGGCGGGGCCGCAGTGAGAGGCGGCGGGGCCGCAGCGAGAGAGGCGGCGGGGCCGCGAAGACGGGCGGCGGTGTGAAGATAAGCAGTAGAAGAAGGCGCCATAGCTAGGAAAGCCCTAGCTAGGCAAGAAACAGTTTAGGCAAAGAAGGGGGTTGCACTAGCAAGAATGAGGATACAAATAGCAAACCCTAGAAGGGTTGTACTCGCTATAGAGCACCCCACTACAGGCTAGAGCATAATATTCTGACACACCCCCATAGCCAAAGTGGGGTGTAATCAGCAGAGCAAGCAAAGCAGAACAAGCTCAGGGTGGATCACAATGTCACCACACATTCTGAGCACAAGTTCAGGAAGCAATATTTTAAAGTTCACAATTATGAGCAAAGCTAGTGGTAGTCACAACGGGCAAGTGAGGAGGAGGAGGGACAGTGAGAGGAGAGGAGATAGGAGGCGACGGCTGAAGCTGCAGACACACGGGCAACAGGAGGCACACTGGCACAGCGGCTACCGGAACAGCGCTCCGGACTACTGGAGTAACTGGCCCCGCGGCTAAAAGTAGCGGCAGACGAGCAACGGACCCACGGGCGACTGGCACAGGTGGCTACGACTGGGCTACCGGAGCAACTCCCCGGACTACAGGTGCTGCTGGCGACACGACGGCAACCTCCGTTCAACCTCCCCCAAACAGTACCACCCCCCCTGACACACACCCCCTGCTTCACCCCCTTCACCCTCCCTTAGTACCACTCCGACGGCTCCAACAGGTCCACCCCCCCTCAGCGGCAGCTGCAGCACAGGGAGACGGAGGAGGAGGAGGAGCAGGGAACGGCACACAGAAGCTGCACCCCCATACCCCCCACCCCCAAACCCTAATCCAGGAGAACGGGCAGAAGGAGGGGTGGGGCGCCTTCAGAAGCACGGGGGACAGCGGGGAGGACAGGGGCAGCGAAGAACGGGCCGCCCACGGGCCTGGCACAGCCTCCCGAACCGCGCGCAGGCGGCCCGAGCCGCGCGCGGGCCTGGCGCAGCCCGTACGGGCCGCGCGCAGGCCTGGCGCAGCCCGTACGGGCCGCGCGCCGGTTGTACGGGCCGCGCGCAGGCCACGACGGGCGACGGGGGGCGACGCGCGGGTCCCCGTCGCCCGTCGTAGCGCCTCCTGGGGGCGACGCGCCGAGTGACGGGGCAGAAACACGTCGCGCGCCTCGGGGCGCACGGCGGGCAGAAAACCGCCGCGCGCCTCGGGGCGCACGGCGGGCAGAAAACCGCCGCGCGCCTCGGGGCGCACGGCGGGCTGAAAAACCCTAATTTCGACGCCGCGCACCACGGGGCGCGCGGCGGACAGGGAGTAGCAGTAGCAGCGGAAGCAGTGAGGTGGGGCCCACAGGCCAGGAGCATATCGCTCTAATACCATGTGAAGATAAGCAGTAGAAGAAGGCGCCATGGCTAGGAAAGCCCTAGCTAGGCAAGAAACAGTTTAGGCAAAGAAGGGGGTTGCACTAGCAAGAATGAGGATACAAATAGCAAACCCTAGAAGGGTTGTACTCGCTATAGAGCACCCCACTACAGGCTAGAGCATAATATTCTGACAGGCGGGGCCGCTGAGACGGGTGGCGGGGCCGCAGTGAGTGGCGGCGGGGCCGCAGCGAGAGATGGCGGCGGGGCCGCGAAGACGGGCGGTGGGGCCGCAACGAGAGAGGCGGCGGGGCCGCAGAAAAGGGTAGCGACGGGCCGTAGGCGGCGCGAAGCCGCAGGTAAGGGCGGCGACGGGCCTGGGCGGCGCGAAGCCGCAGGTAGGGGCGGCGCGAAGCCGCCGGTGAGGGCGGCGCAAAGCCGCGGGTAAGGGCGGCGACGGGCCGGGAAAAGGGCGGCGCGCCGCAGCCGCTAGGGCGGCTCGACGCGACCGTAAGGGCGGCGCGACGGGCCGCTAGGTGCGACTCGACGGGCCGCTAAAAAAAAAAGAAGGCAGGCGCGACTCGAGGCGTGCTTCGGTGGGCCCAAGGAACAGTCCCTAGGAGGGGACCTGCTCTGATTCCATGTGAGAATGAGAACGAGAATGAGTGAACTATGAAAATGAAGTGAGTACAAATATGAAACCCTAATTGGTTGTACCCCATATGGGATACCCCACTATAGCCTACACAACAGCATAAGCTATAATGTTCTGACACACGACGCAGCACGGATTCGGCTCGCAGCGACACTGTTACGTGGACCAGCATTAGAGTGGATTTACTACACTGACGTGGCCCGCGGGGAGAAAACGTGGCAGCAGTTTCGGGCAGACCTCATCGAACGTTTCGAGCCAATTAATACGACCTACATGGCGCGGCAGCAGATACACCGTCACAAACAGTACAGTAGTGTAGCACAGTACACGCAGCAGATGGAGCTAGTGTTCAACCGCATCACGGACCTGACCGAAGGCGAAAAAATCCAGGCGTACACAGAAGGGTTAAAATTGGAGATTCGCCGACAGGTCATCGCAGCGAATTACAACAGTTACCGCGACATCGTGCGTGCTGCCGAGCGATACGACGCATTGACTCGAGGTCAACCCGAAACACGACGCTTCACGCCGAACCGTACATTCGGCACGGAGCGATCGGCACCCCCCACGTTCGCCGAACCGATGGACATCGACAAATACGACGCGAAGCAGCAGCCGACAAAATGCGAATTTTGTGGCGCAGCAAGGCATCATATTTTGTCGTGCTACAAGATGAAAAAGGCACGTGCGGCAATGTAGGGCGGTAACAGTGGAGCACCCCCGAAGTAAAAAAACGGGAATCGTCAGTAGCTGCGGATCGACCTGGCGATCGCGTAAAGATTCGAAAAGCAGGAAAAGGCAACGACGTGGCGACTTCGGAGCGGGTGAAAAAAGGAGAAAATTATGGCGCGAATATAAAACGTCACGACCGGCCGGGATCAGGGGAAATCGACGAGGCGAATGGAGGCTCCGCGAAAAAAGACTCTGCACCGACCGGGAAACTCCAGCCGAACACCCACGAAAGTAAGAATTCGTTAAAAGTATCCTATAAAGATACTATGACGAAAAATATTGCTTCTCGTGGTTTTCAAGCCTTTGAGAAATTCAGGGGAGATTTAGAGGCCAAGAAAAAGCCGTTAGTGATTATTCAGGTACCTGAGAAGTTGGGCAAAGTACTACGGAGCGTAGAAAAGGGTCGTGCGTTCCGTGGAGTTAATATTCTCTCCCCGCAGCACAGTGTTAAGGCTCCCCGTTGCCCACAGGTGAAGCCTACACAGCTGCAAAGGCTTAGAGGAAAATTCCAGGCTCAGGAGAAGTTATACAAGCCTCGAAAAAATCCTCCTACCCCCCAGGTGAAGTTGGAAGTGAAAAGTTCTGAGTCAAGTATAGGAAATAGGGATGGTATTCATGTTGATGTACCCTATGATCCTATTAATGAGACCCTCTTTGGCTACTCAGCGCAGCAGCCACCACTACTCCTCGAGGTGTTATGCACAGGACGACGCCTCCAGGCACTGGTGGACAGCGGTGCATCCCACTCAGTGTGTGACCGCAGGACGTTGGAGAAAATTGGGGAACCTTCCGAGGAGACCAAGTTCTCGGCAACAATGGTGGACGGTACGAAACTTCCCATCCACGGCGAAGCATCACTGCAGCTGCACATAGGGGCGCTAAGGTGGAAGCCGACGTTGCCGATCACGAACATCAAGGGTTTAGATTTCATCTTGGGACAAGATTTCTTGAAGCGGTTCAACCCCGAGATCGATTGGGTCAACAGGAAGGTGTGCATCTACAACAACGGGAAGCGGATAGCACTACGAAGCTGGATGGACACAGGGGACGTTCCTGAAACGACACTGGCACGGTTTGAACAGACGGTGAACGAGAGTAACACGGGATACCTAGCACTGGTTATGGCAGCAGCAGAGGAAGAGAAGCCGAACGCAGAGCTACCTGCAGCAGTGAAGGAAGTCTTGGAGCAGTACAAGGATATAATGCCCGACGACCTACCTGCAGGCGTACCTCCAGCACGCACCCACGAGCACGAGATCATGGAGGAACCAGGTGCGAAACCCGTCTCACGTGCACCATACCGACTGAGTCCGACCGAACTGACAGACATGAAAAAACAGATAGAGTATCTACTGGACAGACAACTGATCCGCCCATCCACCTCTCCCTACGATGCACCAGTTCTCTTCACTCCAAAACCAGACGGCAGTTTACGGATGTGCATCGACTACCGCGCACTGAACAAACAGACAGTCAAAAACAAATATCCCATACCGCGCATAGACGACCTACTGGATCAACTGCGTGGAGCAACAGTATTCTCGAAGCTGGACCTACGGTCGGGTTACTGGTAGATCAAGATGGCGGACAACTCGGTCCACAAGACGGCGTTCCGTACAAGATACGGCTCCTACGAATACTTGGTGATGCCGTTCGGACGCTGCAACGCACTAGCAACGTTTCAGGCGGAGATGAATCACATCTTACGACCCCTGCTGGACGAGGGCGTAGTGGTGTACCTGGACGACATTCTTATCTACTCCAAGAACATGAAGGAGCACGTGAAGCATCTGCGGAAGGTTTTCGAGATCCTGCGAGAAAACAAGTTTTACATGAAGCTGTCGAAGAGCGACTTCGCCCTGAAGAAGGTGCAGTTTCTCGGGCACATGGTGAGTGCCGAGGGCGTACACGTGGACCCGCGGAAAATCGAAGCCGTCAAGAAGTGGAAAGTACCAGGGAACGTGAAGGAGTTGTAGCAGTTCCTCGGCTTCGCCAACTACTACAACAGGTTCGTGCCACAGTACGCTAAGATAGCAGCACCAGTGACCGACCTACTGAAAAAGGATACACCCTACAAATGGGATACTCCTCATCAGCAAGCCATGGAGCAGTTACAGACAGCACTGACTACAGCGCCAGTACTCATCCTACCGGACCCAGACAAGGACTACATAGTTGAAGCAGACGCTAGTGACCAGGCAGTCGGAGCAGTACTGATGCAAGATCACGGGAATGGGTTACAGCCTATCGCCTACCTCAGTAAGAAGCTACACGGAGCAGAACTGAACTACCCCATCCACGACAAGGAAGCCCTAGCTATAGTCGTAGCCTTCAAGGCGTGGAGGTGTTACCTAGAGGGAGCCAAGACTACAGTCTATACTGACCACTGCAGTCTCAAATACCTGATGTCACAGCCGACGCTCTCACGACGACAGGTGTGGTGGATGGACTTCCTGGAAACTCACTTCCACTACGATATCGTCTACAAGCCCGGGCTACACAACAAGGCAGACGCGTTGAGCCGCCCCGGCCATGTAGCAGGCATCCAGCTCGACGGGATGAACCCTCTGCTCAAGGGTCTATTCCAACATGGGTACTCCGTGGACGCAAAGATCGTTACATCACAGACTAGGAAGCTGTTACAGTGGGAGAAAGACTTAGCGGTAAGGAAGGGTTCAGGAAAGATTTGGGTACCGAATTACGCCCCGCTACGGCAGATCCTATTGGAGGAGTTTCACGACGTACCATACGCGGGACATTTCGGGAGCAACAAAACGTTAGCAGGGATAGCAAAGTACTACTACTGGCCCGGGATGGCAGCAGACGTGCAACAGTTTGTCACCTCATGCGACACGTGCCAGCGGATGAAGAGTAGCAAGCAGAAAAAAGCAGGGTTACTTCAGCCTCTACCCGTACCGGAGCAGCCATGGCAGGTCGTTAGCCTCGACTTTATCACAGGACTTCCTTCGACCTCACGGGGACATGATTCCATCCTCGTAGTAATCGATAAGTTCTCCAAAATGGGTCACTTCATACCGACCAACGTCACTGCTACAGCTGAAGCAACAGCTCGCCTCTTCTTTGACCGCATCATTACCATCCACGGCATCCCCGCTACACTCATCTCAGACAGAGACCCCAAATTCACGATTAAGTTCTGGAAGGAGCTCATGGGATTATTGGGGACCAAACTTGCGATGTCCTCAGCATACCACCCACAGACTGACGGACAGACAGAGCGACTCAATCAGGTGGTTGAACAGTTACCGCGCACAGCTTGCAAAGACGACGTCAGCCACTGGGACACACAGTTACCGACATTAGAGTTCGCTTACAACAACGCGTCACATGCGGCCACAGGGAAAACTCCTTTCTTCCTGTGTTACGGACGGGAACCACTTACACCACAACAGCCAACCACACCGTCACACGTCCAAGCCGCACATGACTTCGTCACCACCATGCAGCAGCTATGGGAAAAGACCCAGCGACGTCTCATCACGATGCAGACCTCCCAGAAGCAGTATGCCGATCGCCAGCGACGTGATCACACCGTAGCAGTCGGAGAACAGGTGCTTCTTGACACGCGCAACTTGAACCTGTCTCACCTACCATCCAAACTCCGGCCTCGCTTCTGTGGTCTTTTTCTCGTTGAGGCACAG